TGAATTTCCTAGCGTTTTGTGAGACGCACACCACTGATGATTCCTGATAAGAGAGAAACAGCTATACAGTAATTTTCAGCTTTCTGACATAGATGGACTTCAATTAATGGATAAAACCTCAGTCAGAACTTCCTGAAACTCCTCACACCACTAAAATATTCAAGATCCGTCGGCACAAACTGTATTATGCTGATATGCACGCGGGTTGTCTGGGAACCTATTTAAGCTGCACAATAATCCGAATTCGAGGGACTGGGAAAAATAAACGCGACCGCCTCGAAGTTTAATGCAGGAGTTTCTCAAGGAGAATGCTCCGAGAGACGAACTCCGCATTACTTTTTAGAGACACATACTGGTATCAGCGGTGTCGAATTTGCATCCCGCGGGAAAAGGGAACGATAGCGGTCCAGTCCCCTTTCCTTCGTTCACAAGCCAGTAGCGCATCGTATTGTTAACGTCAAGGTTCATTATGGTCGATATTTGATTTTTTTTGTTCGATAGTAGAAGAATGAAATAAAGCCACTCAGGTTGCCTTGCTGTTTATCTGGTCCCGAGAAGTACGACTCAGTTGTTAGTTTAAGGTTAGTTTCCAACATTCAACGATTTTGCTTTAGTTTCCAACTCATAAATAGAACGATGATGGATATATTTTCGGTCAGTAAGCTAAAGAATGCCTTTGAGCATCATACGGGAGTGGAAGGCTGCAGGCAGGTTTGATATGCGGTGCTTTGTGAACAGTAAAGCAAGGCAACTGAACAAAGACACGGTCAGCTGACATTTCAGTTTGGACTGACAGTTGCAGTTTGTCGTATTTTGGCTTTCTCACAAAGAATATTTTGCAGCGAGAATTTCGAAAGGATAGCACCCATTTGTCTGATGATTGATGTCAGGGTATGCGTCGTGCGTGTATCGAACTTAGACTTCTGTTATTACCACGGTGGTCCTGATTGTTCGTCAGGCACTGTCTTGCGCGCAGTCTTATCTCCGACGACATGTAGCCAAATTAATTCTGCTACAACAAGCCACATGTAACCGGACTTCTGAAGACGGAATTTAATGAACATAACCGTTTTGTCAAGCTTACTTTTGAAAGGAGTCTTGGAGTAATGGCAAAGTTTGCTTTCGAGAAATACCGGTTGCATTGCCTTGCAACCACTGATAAATGGGGAGGAAGTTTAGTCCCACACAGCAGCCAATTTAGGGTAAGGAAGATTTCGTGAACTTTCGTCACTGAATTGTATCAGTTTCAGATTACACAGCTTGGCTGGAGTTGAAATTAGCTATATATGGAGATTCTGAGAGCGGTGGTTTCAGAATGCTCAGTGCTAATCAGGAAAGTTGGTTAGGTATAATTGTTCGGTGTAGGGGCTGCATCATTTACCCAGTCACTCACGTGATCACCCAATATTCTTGGTTGAAAACGTATATTCGTGGTTTCCTGTGGAGAAACTAGTAATTTGGGATTGAACAGAAACCGCAACACGCCTCCAGTGCTCTTTCATGGCAGTCCCACCCTAACAAAAGGCTTTTATTACTAACCGATAGAATTATGGATCGGGTTACTTTACCTGAGCTTGCACAGTTTCCAAATCCTACGCACAGTCGTCCGATATAAATAACGACATCAAAATATTAATTATTGTCCATATATGAAGTCTCAAAACGGACACAAAAAACTGCATTACAACCTATGGCAATGGTCTTTGTGTCGTCGATAGTGCCTTGGCTTGGAGCACACCACACATTTTAATGTTAATGGTTTAGATGCCCACATCTTTCGTCCCCTATTTTGGGATATTCTTCGAAAATAAACCATCAGGAACCCGTAGGTAGTTTCCTGCATGGTCGTTGAGTTATGTAGGCTGCTCCACCTATGGAGCTGTCCATCTTTTGTGGCTTGAAATCTTCAGTTCAAAAGGGCTATCACATATTACCTTTCCCCTATCCAAAAGCAATCACTGTTTTTTCATACACCAGCATGAATCCATTGGTTAGTCAAGTACGAAAGAAACTGTGGATGTCCATCACTTGTCTTCCGATTATGTAAGTACGTGAAGACTGACATCTGCAAAATGTATGATGTAAAACGAGCAAATGAATGGCTCCTGCTAACTCTTCAGAAAGATAACAGAGTGGAAAACAACCGAAGATCGTTGTTCTAGCCAATAAACCTAGCTTGACATAATGATGATTCCCCATTCATTTGCTTATTTACCCATGTGCTTTTGATCTCCACTTGTTTTGCTCATCCGTACCCGTAATTCGTCTTACCATGAAGAACATCTCGTGTGCCACTAATATTTTGAGATGCTTACGCTTGTATCACTGACCCATTTAACCATGAGTGTTCGTGCCCAGTCTGCTACGCCTGCTTTGACTTGTTATGTTGTGATTCCAATGTGATCGTTCCACAAATCAGAATCATGTGACTGGGCTGGGAAAGGAAGGTTAGAAACCAAACTCCAAGCCAGCATTCCGCTCGCCGTTGTTAAGTGTGCGGAACTCGACACTGCGCTGTGACCCTGAGTGACAGGTAGCACCATGGACACGTGGACAGCGAAAGCTTGTTATAATAGTATCGTTGACTTACGAACCCAGGTCTTCCTTTTGATATTCTGAACTGTCAAACTTACGCGTGACACGGGATTCAGTATCTGAAACCTGAACACGGGAGAAGTAGTGTGGCGAGTCATGACATTGCGTCGCGGA